GAGACCTGCTGACGCTTAGCGCTTCCCGAAGCTCATGAGACAGTTGTTGATTTACCAGCTTAGCGGCGCCCGGCACGGCTCAGAGGCATGCATGACGGAGGCTTTCCTCGTATATCAGCTTTCACAAACAAACCGGTCGGACCAGGGTTGAGTGGCGATGCACCGATAACTTTTTACGGCGTTCGGCGTTGCGTGTCACTTCCCTTCAACTCTGATATGATCCGTTTAAAGCCCAACGAGTGCGAGAGGGCAATTATTGCTAAATACCTGCTGTTATATGAGCAGCGGTCATGGGATGGTGTTAGTCACGTTATGTTGGGGTTAAAGCATTGCCATGTGTCCATTGGCAAACACTGACATACGCCGCAGCCCTGCACACTTCGTCCCCCTGTGAAAGTCGCCCCGGCGAGCGCGTCATCACAACCGGATGCGGATGCATGGCGTCCACACGGATCTAGTTCCGTTTCGCCGTGAATGCTTTTAGTGCAGGTTATTCTTGTGAGCTGGTTCGTGCTGCCGCGGTGCACGGCACTCCCGAGCGGCGGTTCGTGCTGCCGCGGTGCACGGCACTCCCGAGCGGCGGTTCGTGCTGCCGCGGTGCACGGCACTCCCGAGCGGCGGTTCGTGCTGCCGCGGTGCACGGCACTGCCGAGCGGCGGTTTGTGCTGCCGCGGTGCACGGCACTCCCGAGCGGCGGTTCGTGCTGCCGCGGTGCACGGCACTCCCGAGCGGCGGTTCGTGCTGCCGCGGTGCACGGCACTCCCGAGCGGCGGTTCGTGCTGCCGCGGTGCACGGCACTCCCGAGCGGCGGTTCGTGCTGCCGCGGTGCCGGCACTCCCGAGCGGCGGTTCGTGCTGCCGCTGCACGGCACTCCCGAGCGGCGGTTTGTGCTGCCGCGGTGCACGGCACTCCCGAGCGGCGGTTTGTGCTGCCGCGGTGCACGGCACTCCCGATCGGCGGCGTGCTGCCGCGGTGCACGGCCACTCCCGAGCGGCGGTTCGTGCTGCCGCGGTGCACGGCACTCCCGAGCGGCGGTTTGTGCTGCCGCGGTGCACGGCACTCCCGAGCGGCGGTTTGTGCTGCCGCGGTGCACGGCACTCCCGAGCGGCGGTTCGTGCTGCCGCGGTGCACGGCACTCCCGAGCGGCGGTTCGTGCTGCCGCGGTGCACGGCACTCCCGAGCGGCGGTTCGTGCTGCCGCGGTGCACGGCACTCCCGAGCGGCGGTTTTGCTGCCGCGGTGCACGGCACTCCCGAGCGGCGGTTCGTGCTGCCGCGGTGCACGGCACTCCCGAGCGGCGGTTCGTGCTGCCGCGGTGCACGGCACTCCCGAGCGGCGGTTCGTGCTGCCGCGGTGCACGGCACTCCCGAGCGGCGGTTCGTGTGCCGCGGTGCACGGCACTCCCGAGCGGCGGTTTGTGCTGCCGCGTGCACGGCACTCCCGAGCGGCGGTTCGTGCTGCCGCGGTGCACGGCACTCCCGACGGCGGTTCGTGCTGCTGCGGTGCGCGGCACTCCCGAGCGGCGAGGGTCTCACCGGTCTCTTTTCAGCCGGAGAACGTCATGCTGCTGAGCAAGAACCGGGCGCAGCTGAAGCTCATCGACTTCGGTCTCAGCCGGAAAATCGACCCGAACAAAGAAGAGCGTCATATGCTCGGTAACGGCCCCCCGCTGAGTCTTATCGGCGCTGGGCGGCGTCATGCCGATGGAGTGGTGTCGAGTGGTGCACACGTAGTGCCGATGGAATGGTGTCGAGTGGTGGCCGCGTAGTCAGCCACCGCCTTTTGCACTGAGTGCGCTCACGCTTTGAAATACAGATGGGGTTTACCATAGACGCGGTACGATGCCTGCTGCTCTTCGGGATTGTACACGGGTAAATTTGGCGATAAATCTGGGATTGGCGGCTCTCAAATTTGATCTTAGCTTTTCTTGTTGAACTTTAAGGTGATGACATCTTAAGTCGTTAATACCAACTGCTTGTAATTATATATATATATATATATATATATATATATATATATATATATATATATCGTTATATTAAATATTTGTTCACCGAGAGACACGCATTGTCTTCAAATATATTCGTTGCTGAACGTTTTGGATTCATCGTAAATCCATTCCCAAAAGCAATATCTGACTGTCTAACTAATATATATATATATATATAATCATAAATATATATTAAGATTAGCATGCATAACGTGGTAAAGGTGGAGTGATTTTTGTGACGTTGCTAATCAGTGTATGACAACGACTGACCCAAATATTGTGTTTATGTCACTGGTGCGCTTATCGCGCATGAGCAGTATTTTAAAGGGATGTTCGCTTGTAAAAACTGATGCTCACTGAATGGATTTATTTCTACATGCCTTAACGACAAGCCTAAAAGCCATGTTTACACGAGCGGCTGTCAATCCCAGTACAAATCACCTGTGGGCTTCCCTGACGACTGAGCTGTCGTTCTGCTGCAGGCACGCCTGAGTTCGTGGCGCCGGAGATCGTGAATTACGAGCCGCTGGGCCTGGCCTGCGACCTGTGGGCGCTGGGTGTCATCACGTACATCCTGTGAGCAGCCAGCCGCCTGACGTCTGTTGAGGCTGTCCTGGGTCGCAATATCGTCGCATGGCTATTATGTGGTAGACGTTTTACGTTCACAAAACGAGTGTTGCAGAGGTACTCACGGATATTCAATGGTCTTTACTATGAGAAATTAGATCGACTTGAAACTATTTACCCCGGGCAAAACGCCCAGTATGGCATTAGTTCATGACCGCCATGGCAATGTCAAAATAGAGCAGAACTTGTTGAGAGTGGCATCCATCTTCATTTGCGATTTTTAGCGTTGGATGATACTGTGCTTTAATGACGGGTGCGATTTCCTATCCTTCTTGAACGATATCAAGCTGCTGCCGGCCAGCCAGCCCCTGACAAAGATGCGTTCTTTTGGAGGGCCGCCGGTGCGTACACGTCCGCGTCTTGAGTATCAATCTGTCTCTTGAGCAGACTCTCCGGGGCGTCTCCGTTTCTGGGAGACACCCAACAGGAGACGTTCGCCAACATCGTCGCTTGTGACTACTGCTTCGACGACGAGTACTTCAGCGGCACGTCGGAGTCGGCCAAGGACTTCATATCGCGTCTGTTCGTGACAGACCCCAGGTAATCCGCTGGTTGCTGGGTGCCGTCAGCTGCCCTTTCAGCAGGTGATGACTGCGGCTGTGGCCGTTCCAAAATGGCTGCTGTGTAGGCGAATCGGCATGATTCTGCTTGCCGCTGCTCTTTGTGAGCACTGGACTGTCATCGAGAACTTCGTGAATTGGTTACGGCTATTGCTGTGCATGGAACCAGAAAGTGGCTGGAGGCGATAGGGCAACGTTCAACGATCACTACGAATGGGATCGGCTTGAATGTCTGATCCACGGTTTTTTTGACAGGCGTCGAGCTACCGTGCGGGAGTGCCTGGACCACCCTTGGATCCAGGTGTGTGCATTCTTGTGATTGTCTCACCAACGTGTGCGTTCATCAACGCGAACATAGTCTCCTGAATCGGACCTTTGTGATGGGCCTCCGTGTGATGGGCCTCCTTTGTGATGGGCCTCCTTTGTGATGGACCTCCGTGTGATCGGATCCGGCTTCTAATGCATGCCGATACTGAAGGATCCACGAGCATAATGTGCTCAGCTAATCACATCACGCGGTCTCTGTATCTGTCCGCACGTGTGCGCTGCCCTACACGGCGTCGGGAAGCCAAGGGTTGCGAGAGGCTCTGAAGGCTGCAGTGATTCTGTGGCATCTGGAGCTCTATAGAGCCTAATCTGTCTAATCCCCCGTCCTCCTGTCCTCTGTCTCTGAAAAACCACATGATCGGGTGATTCATAGGCGATGTTAATTCCCGTGTCAACCGAGCCTTCTCTGTGTTTGGAAGACAAGTGTTAAGGAAGCTTCGTGGGAAGATCAAAGGCTTTCACTTCACTGTTTTGCGTCACTGCTGAAGCATCTGAAATATTCTAAGCGGCTGATATGATCTCCAACCAAGAAAAGTGCAGTTTCCAAGCCCTAACACGCGCCCAGGTGGCCGGTTGAATCCTCGCTCGGGTGGGGGATTCAGTTTGGCCCCCTCTAGAGATATCAAAAACTAAGGGAGCTAGAGACACCAAATTCAAAAGTTGTGCTGGCCTGTACGTGAGCTCATTTGTGTCAACATTTAGGGTTCCTAGGTAATCACCTTCGGGTCAAATAAAGTCAAACAATGTCAAACTCCACCTTGGTGTCCAAAGTGCCTCCAGAACCTAGATATTTGTTCTAAGCAAAAAGTCACTGGTGCTTATTTGAGGTCGATGACCTTGTTTGAACTTTCGAAAGCTATGGTGACCAAAACCAAATAAGGCTGTTTTGAGTTTTGCATTTCAATGAACGTTAAAGATTGCGGTAGGCAGTATATTCCTAAAAACAAAATGCTAACCTGGGTCATTTTAGGTATGTCACCTATTATGTCCTTGAAGCAGTCTATGGGAGGTTAAAATACGGTCCTGATATCAATAATTCCAAATGAGCACCAGAAGCCATCCCATACTGCAAGCTATAGAGCACTAACACAGGTTGGTTTTGATCTTGGTCGGACTTTCGTACCTGATCTGGGGTGAATGGAACTGGTTTATTAAATTGTTGCATTGCCTGAAAAACTTTCTCAGAGATGTATGGCATTGTCTAATATTCCGCTGTTGCATCATATTGAATAATTCCCTAGAAATTGTCTTCAATGCATCCATGGCCTGACTTTGACTACCGTGGGTCAACTACTTGACGAGGTACATCTATTTTTGCAACACCAAACGATCTGCTGTTCAATTGTCTATAGCCATGCCAAATTGGGCGCGGCTAGACCGTTTGGAAACCATTCGAGGAAAACCTCTGGAGAGAATTAAATTGACCCCCACCCGAGCGCGTGTTAATGATACAAAACTGATGGTTGCCTGACGGGCGGTGCTGTATCGCTGTGAATCCGTGTGATAACCTGCAACGGACAAGACGCCTCGTGGTCTGCCGCGGAAACGTCATGTTCTAACTGCCCACCTTAGTGCTTCACAGTCTGGTCACCGAAAGACCCATTCAGCATCGCTCGGACCCAGTGTTTAAACCTTGACCATCGTCATCACTTTTCGGACACACAGTTACGGCTTTCTCCCGAAGCCCGTGTTACAAAAATGCAGTGGTGATCGGGTCACTCGCCATGCATACATTACCACCAGGATCTGACAGTTGTGTGCAATTTTAGCCAGCGAGTGAGGCGGAGCATACGGAACAGTGGAGAAGACGGTGAACATCGACAATCTGAAGACATACCAGGCGCGCCGCCGCTGGACGGCAAGTTGACTCACCAGATGACTCTAGAGGGGTGAACAAGTTTAACTGTAATATGGCGTGTGCGTGCGGGTGGGTGTGGGGAAAATGGGGGGGGGGGGGGGTGTGTGGGGAGTGCCTGGACCGTGTGAGGAGTGGGATACCCAGAGTAACTTGGGTTCTGCAGATGCTTCTGGCTTGAACTGCAGCCAAGTATGAAGGAATACGCTCACTTGTTATATGCTCTGTGCACTTATTATATGCATTGCATGCTGCCCTGTTAGTCCTTTTCAGACATTATTGTAATCAACCTAGCGTTTAGAGAGACGTGAAAATGAGATGTTGCGTTTCATGTACGATAAAAACTGCGTTAAAAATCCTCATGACTTTGGCGATCGGTATCGAGGCTTATATGCGTCTCCCCCCCCCCCCCCCCCACTTTTAGCCTACCCTTTGTTATCATTATGCAGTAGTAAACAAATGTATTGCGAGCTGGTCCACAAGCCAGGGAAGTCTACGTCAGCCAACCGCAAATTGTGTAACTTTATCGCCCTCCCCTATCCCCCCCCCCCCCCCCCCCCCTCCCATCTTTGCAACCATCGGTCGTACTGCCAGTGAAGTTTTCAGCACCAATGAGCATAGCTCTTTAAAGGCTGGGGTGGGGACATGTTCAAGCCAGTGGAAAAGTAAGTGGTTGACCAGACGGCATATTTCTACAATGGCGCTGCATGATCACCACTATTTTTCGTCTCCATTCGGCTAACATGGAAGTGGTGAACTATTTAAATCCCAAAAAAGCGGAACTCGAGGTGAGACCTCGGCGACGATGGTGTCGCTGCGACACAAGGATAGCTAATACCGTCGCCAAAGAGAACGGACCATTCGTGCTGCCAACGATGGCGGTAGGTGTGTGTGCGGACTATCGCGCGCTGCTTGCCGCCAAACATAGCCCTCGGTTCCTGAGGTGACGGGCTCCATTCGCCTGTAGTTTTTTGTTATCTCCCCGCGGTTAACCAATTACGCCTGTTATCACCTACCTCGTTCCACGGTGCGGGTAAAGGACATTTGGCGCTGCCAATGTGTACAAATATGGATGCCTCACCCCAAGTTTCCCGAGTGTAAAGGCGAACACCCACAACACAGATGGGGTCATCTGTGGATTTTATGTGCGCGGGGCTACCATTTTTCGTGCTGCGAACGCGGCCTTGGCACACACGTACACATTGTTAGTCGCTTGGAGGCCAGGCCCACGGTGCCTTTGGATGCGCCCTTATTAGCGCTACTGGTAAGGTGAATATGAATCTGAATTACGTAGGTCATTGGCCCAACAGCGCATGGGGTATTAGTTAGCCACGACTGCTGATGCTTATAGTTGTATAAAAATTGGGACCGGATTGGCCGTCGGGACGCTGTCGGCGCGCACAGAGGTCCTCCCAATACGGCGGCGACCAGGGTTGGCCTTGTGGCACGTGCTGTAGTGCACTCCCAGAATGTCGACCTTCGCGACTGAAAGGACAATAAGGTTAAGTCAACTGCAGGTGAAATTAGAACAGAGGACGCTGCATGATGTTGGCAAAAACATTTCTGACATACTTAAATTGAGAAACTATCAACGGGCCTGGCCATGAAATGCCTCTAAGTCAAGCTGTATCTCAATACCAGGTGCGTCGTGTGGAGCGTGCCTCATTGACTTAACTGGGGACACCGAAAAAACTGGAGGGTGAAAAGTTATGCTTCACGTAATTAACCTACTCCATGTGCTTAAACGTGACATTCCAACCAAAGTACAAGTGGCCCCACCATATTCTTCAGTGGAGCCAAACCTTATTGATATGGTGACATGGAAAGTTGTTTATACCGTTACTATGGCATAGCGTAGCAGCATTACAGTATCAGCAAGCTGCCAAATGCAGCCGCCTATTCTCGACCGTGAATGTGTCCGAGAGCCATAACTCGTGTGCCCTCCAGTCGCAGAGCCACTGACGCAGCCCTGTCGTGCCCCCCATGCAGCACTCCATGCGAGTGGTGACCCTGTGCAACCGTCTGTCGAGGAGCGCCAAACTGCGCAGCCGGAGCCAGAGCCTTGAGCTACTGGACCAGCGGGGGGAGCAGACCCGGGAGTCCGTCAGCGACCTGGCCGTGACCGCGTACCAGGTTCAGTGTCCACGCTCGTCACCACCGACCGCCACTGAGGCCTGCCCACCGCTCCGGTGGGTTGCGGCCCACCGGGGCCTCGAGAGTGTGCCAAGCTCAGCCCACTCCTTGTCCAGTAAGCGCGAGTCCTGCTCAGAGCCTTCTTTAGATGAGGACAAAGGGAGGGGTAACCGACACGGTTGTACTGTCCAGCCGATGCGCCGTGCGCAACATTTGCATGGTTGCAGTCATCACGAAACTTGGCTTCAGGGCCCAGCCCAGCCCCAGCCAGCCCAGTTCAGTACAGTTCTGGGCGGCTGGTCTGTTCTGCTCTGTGATTTCCCCAGACCTTTCCTCTCATTATTCAACGTTGCGAAGAATGGAGTGTGGTGCCCATACAGGATGGTCGTAGAAATACGACGCGTCGACCGTCGCTCTCCAGCTGTTCCATTTGCCTTCTCAAGCTCGGCGGCCCCGCTCTCACGCCACGCAAAACGACGTCACGTTATAACCGCTGCCAGTGCATTGTGCATGACTTTGCAACTAATACCGCGTGTATTATCGTGCATGGGCAACCATGTAGCAGATTGCTGGACGCCACTTTCGGCAGGACGAAAACTTCATTGTGTCTGCTCTGTTCTGCGCTGCCGAGGAGGGCAACATCGCGGGCATCAAGCGACTGTTTTCGATGGCCAAGATTGACCCGAACCTGGCCAACCGGGTAAGTGTGCTCAGCGGTTTTTAGTTGTGGCTCAGACGGAACAATTGGCATGCTGGGAAATTTCGGAAATTGACTAGGTCTCTCGGCGAGGCGGTTCGATTCAAAATCATTCCCACTTGGACAGCTGCGCACATGCCTACTTTTGTTTAGCTAACAAACGCTTAGCGAACCGTCCTGTTGCTACATTCAGATCATTCCGAGACGTCGCTCAAAAGTTGGATCATGTTGTGCGTGCATGATGAGATCCCGCGTGTCTCTAGGGACTCGCTGCGATCGTTCACTCAGCACTGAGCTGCGTCGAAGTTACTGGATGAATGATGCCATCTGCGAACAGCACACTGAATACTCTCTCAGCACTGGGTTGCGTGGATGAGATTCGATGGGTCGGTGCCATCTGTCAACAGCAAGGCGAAACATCAGTTCACGTGGCCGCCGGCCTGGGTCAGCTGGAGGTTCTGCGAGTGCTGCGCACGAAGGGAGCCGACCTAGCCCGAGAGGACGAGCGCGGAGACAGTGCTGCTATCTGGGCGGCCCGCCACGGCCACCCGGGCGTGTTGGCTTACCTACTTGGAGAGGGCGCCAGCATCGACAGCAAAAATAAGGCATGTCCAGATTCACCCTGCCTGATTTACCCCCGCCCCCACCCCACCCCCACCCCGATTCACCCAGCCGTAGTGTGATGGGTTCGAGTCCCTTTAGTCACTTGCTATTTTTTCTCTGGCTGGGATGGCCTGCGGACGGTGGTGGCGGCTGCGCTGAGGGCCAGATGACGTCAGAGGCCAAGACGGACCGTGTCGAGCATTCTGGAACGTTAGCTAGTTAGTTAGCACAAGATTTTGCCGCCTTTTGCCCGGAATTTTAAGATGGAATGATAGGCCAGGGCTCATGCAACAGCTACTACTTAGCAGGAGTGCTGGTCCCGGAAATCCTTCCAATCGCAAACTTGGACTAAATGTTTAAAATGGTACCGATTTGGTCAAGAAGCTCACTTTGGGCCCTCGAAGCCCAACTTATGAAATGATGCATTTCAATGGGAACGTACTGAACAAAGACTAAGACAAGTTGTACGAAGCCTGTGTATGTTTTGCCGGGATGGGATTATGTACCCGTGGATCATGGATGGAAACGTTCATTTATTCGGGTGCATTCGCAGGATGGTTACCCGGTGTCAAGTCAGTGAACGCACAGGAACTGGTACTTAAAGGCCTACATTAAGTTGAGTCATGGAGGGTCTCAGGATTAATGAAAACGATTGAAAACTGGGCCATGATGATTTAAGACTCGTCTGTTTCACGAGTTTTAGATAATTTTCCTCGGGCTCGGTGAATATGCATTGATGCCTAAACTCTCTAAGCTAAGCTTAAACTCGCGCGGTGGAACCTTACGTCGATTCCGGGGCGGGGGGGGGGGGGCATTTAGTAAGCGTGAGAGACACACGTAACAGCCACATGTACTAAATGCCGCTAGCGTGGCGCGGTGGTGCGTTAGGCTAGGTAGTCTGCGTGTGTTAACAGTATTTCAATATGTGTACTACAGATGTCAACTTATCGCAGTAGTTATAATGCGGCCATCATAGTACAATTTGATTGTTGTTGATCTCAGGGCTGGGTCGCTGGATTACGTTTTGAAGACTCTTACCGGCTTAGCTCACCTCCCCTGGACACTTTTAAAAATAGATGAATTACAAATATGCCCGCATCAGAAGTATAGTTCCCCATTCAGTTGGGTAGTTCCAGCCCCCCCCCCTCACTCTTACCAACTTTCAGAGGAAAGAGGGTCTATCCGGGGAAGTCACGTGCTTGGTGCAGTAGGTAGGCTTAGCCATTTTCCCGCCCGAGTCCACTAACCCCAGCTTCTATTGTGAAACCATACCACGGCCGGCATGTTACGCCCAGTTCAGATGATGTAGGATGCCAAGAAGTCTCAGGAAAGTTGCTGCCTTGCAACGATAACGGCGGAGAAGCGGAGATGGTCAACCACGGGCTGCACCATTCATTTTGTAGCTATGCCATCAAAACCCACCGTGCATGAGACGACCGATGACAACGCCGGCCGCCACAGTCGGAAGCCGTTACCTGACGGGGCCGATAGGACCGCCTGACGCCTGAGTGTACCGCGGATACCGCTTAGGAGGGACTGGCGACCTGACGGGACCCACCTCCGGCAGGCTGGCGAGACGCCGCTGCTGGTGGCGTGCAAGTACGGCCACTTACCCGCCGTCCGGCTCCTCTGCCAGCACGGGGTCGCCCTGAATGCCCAGGATGACGTGAGTACGGCACGAAATGACATCATTCGGGCGCAGCCGTGGTCGGTGCTTTGACCGATATGGTGGTTTGCATTGTTTGACAATGCGGACGCAAACGTATGTGGAATGCCAGGCATGGATGTAAACCTGAATCTCATGCCGTGCAAATGCGTAAATCTGGGATTAAACCACGGCATGACAAATTAGCCATCATCACACTGGAAACACTATTTATCCGTGAGCTTGCTTCCGCCCTGACCAAACACCTCAAATCACGCGTAGCGCTTAAAGTCTGAGGGCAGCACGTCAACAGCTGGAATCTTTGCTGAATGCCAAGTCCGTTGTGACAAATGTGCGTCCACCAGTGTGACCCCCCAGATATTTCTGCCATATACCACGGCATACTACATCAGATACTCATACGTTACATTTCCACTGAGATGTATCTTTACCGTAACATTACTTATAAATCACCTGAGGTGTTTTAAAACCGCATGTTCAGCGGAAATATGTTGGAATCGTTTTAACAATGCGGTCTGTTTTGAAAAGGCAGCATGAAATTTGTATGGAAGCTCTTAAAGCGTCTTACAACATTTCAACGCATCGCTGTGGAAATCTGGAGAGCAAAATTTGAAAGCTGGAACACCGCTGATTTTGTCTTGGTAACCAGATCGCAGGCAAATTATGAAAGAATGTCATATATGAAAAGTCCAGATCATCTCCTTCCCAATTTTAGTATGCGTCATTAGCTTCGACGCAGGATTATATGGCACGGTATCTGTGAGCGTTGTGGTAGTGCTCGGTTCAGATTTCAATTAGCACTGCCAGAATGGATTTACGACTGTTTCTTGAAACAGGTAACATTCAGTTCTTTGGGCATTTGCCACAACCACCTCCTAGCACGCAGACCCATGTAGAGAGGCCTTCCTTATGATTTGAGTTACCTTATAATTAATAAGGCTACCTTATAATAATAATAATTGTGTATGATTAATATAATTAATCTATATAATGATATAATTATATAAGGCTACCTTATAATTTGCAAAGGATATGCAGATCCCATGATATTCAATGGTGGCGTTTGTTGGTGAATATGAAGTGATTTTTAAATCCTAAGATCAAGCGAATCCTGCAGCGCCTTAATACGGAAAAGCGTTTGATGTCAAAGTAAGGGTCACGCACAACTTGATGGTCGCGGATGGGCGACAGGTCTGGATATCTTAGGATTTAAAATGTTAAAATCACTTCATATTCACCAACAAAGGTTGCCATTAAATGTAATGAGGTCTGCATATCTTTCGCAAATTATAAGGCAGCCTTTTCCATTCGGAATCAGGATATGTTATCGCGTGATTTTTCATTTTTCAGTCTCCTGTTTATGCACAGAGGGGTCGTGTTCATTTGTGTAACTGTGACCGTTGTCATTGCGAGCGATGTCGGTTGAATGTTTTAATATTTAGCTGTTACTTGATTGAACTGGTACCATCGTACTTGTCCTGATAATGATACGCAATATATCGAAACTCCTCTTACCATAATATATATATATATATATATATATATATATA